GAGGGAATATACGAGACAGGTGACCGGCTTATGAGGGGAGGAAAAGGAGCACGAGATCCAGAGAACGGAAATGTGAGGGAAGGGTCCGACTGTGAGGTAAATATTAACACAAAAAGTCTAGGAGCGTGAGGTAAAATATTCACGATGTCGTAATCAATGAACGGTGAGGATGGATATAACTTTTATAAGGGAACACACACACACCACACACACACACACCACACACACACAACACACACACACACACACACACACACATCCACACACACACACACACACTGGACCGCGCGCAAGCACACGACACTACGTAGCAACACGCACTCACACACAACCATACGCACACACACTGCATACGCACAAAACCAGACATAACGGTGAGACTTGGTATAGCTTATATAGGGGGGAAACAACACACAGCAACACACACAGACACAGCACACACACACACACACACGATCGATCCACACACCACACACAGACACATACCGCACACACACGCATACGCAGCATACACGCACAACCGCTGAGACGTTGGTATATCTTTTTAAATAAGGGAACACACACACACAACACAACACACCACACACGGCAATCACACACACAACGCACCACACACACACACACACCACACACACACACACCACCAAACACACACCGCACGCACACCAACACACACACAGATATAATACACTCATAAAAGGCAAAAAATATACATTCTACAAGGCAAAAGTTATAAGTTTTACAAGGCAAAAGGTATAAGATTCATAAGGCATAAGGTAGAAGTTTCATAAACCAAAAAGCACAAGTTTCATAAGGGAAGAATATAAGCTTTACAACACAAAACATACGAGCTTAATAAGGTAGAAAAAAAAAAAAAAAAAAAAAAAAATCAGACACAAGCTTCACAACGTCAAAAGCCCCAAGTTCCCCCAGGCAAGACTCACACGCAAGCCAAGCCGCCCCGTTGAAGGCCAGGACGCGCTCGCTAAAGGGAGAGAAGCCAGCGGGGGAGAAGCCAGCGGGGGAGGGGCCAGAGCTCGCTAAAGGGAAAAGCCGGGGTGGAGAGGCCAGAGCGAGCGCCCGCGGAATAATAAAGGCGCGAGGAGACGGCAAAAGGACTGATGGAGCCGTGACATCCACACAAAGGGACGTCCCGCAGTTCCTTAGGATGTCCAGGAGACGTCACCATAACAAGGAGAGGGAGTGTCCTTGGGATGCGGAGGTCCCTGCATGACGTGAGGGGAAAGCGTCCTTTTCCGGATCTTATTCCCTTCCTTTATCTCTCTCTCTCTCTCTCTCTCTCTCTCTCTCTCTCTCTCTCTTCTCTCTCTCCTTTCGTCTCTCTCTTCTGACCTCTCCTCTCTCTCTCTCTCTCTCTCGCTCCCTCCTTCCCTACACCCTTTCTCCCCTTTTCCGTTACCCTTTTTTATCTCTCTTCTTTCTCTCTCCTCCCTTAATCCTCTCCCCTTACCCTTCCCCCCCTTCCCTTCTAGCTTGCCCTTCTTTCCCCTTATACTCCTTATCACCTTTTTTCTCGCACATAGCCCCACCAATCCTTCTCCCTCTCTCCCCCCACCTTACCCCTAATCCTGCCCTCTCGCCACCCTTCTCCTTAACTCCTACTTCCTCTACCCTTCCCCTATCCCTCCTCCCCTTCTCTCATCCCTCCCATTCTCCCTTCCCTTCCCTTCATCACCCTCCCCTCCCTCTCTCCCCTCATCCCTCTCATCCCTCTCTTTCCCTCCCCCCCTCTTCTCTTCCATCCTCTTCCAACGGCCTTTATTCCTCACTCCATTTACCTAAATCTTTCCCCGAGAAATATTTCACCCCGAGAAACGCCAGCTAAGCGCGGGGCGTCACTCTATGAGGTTCTTATGATCAAATTATCTGTGAACATTTTTCGAGCGGATGTGTTCTTTGCGAGGCCCGGCGTTTATCTCGGCTGTCGTGGGGATCATCTGGAATATTCTTTCGTTCTTTCCTTCTCCTTTTTTTTTTTTTTTTTTTTTTTTTTTTTTTTTCTTTTTTTTTTTTTTTTTTTTTTTTTGGCTTGGTATGGATGTTTTTTTTTTTTTGGGGGGGGGTATTTATTATTTCCTGAGTATGGGATGGTTCTTTACCTTTCTTTGTTGTTGTTGTTGTTAATCTCTTCGCTTTTCGTTTGATTTCTCTCTCTCTCATTCTCTTTCCGCCTTTTCTGGTTCTAATCTCTCTCTCTCTCTCTCTCTCCTCCCCTCCTCTCTCTCACACAATCCCTTCTCGCGCTCCCTTCTCGTCCCCTCTCCTCCCTCCTCTCCCTCGCTCTCTCTCCTCCTCCTCTCTCCTTCAATCTCCTTCCCTCATCCGCTCCCTCCTCTCCTCCCGTCTCTCTCCCGCCTCCCTCCCTCCCTCTCCCCCCTCCCTCTCTCTCCACCCTCCCACTCTCCCCCTCCCCTCCCCTCCCCTCACAAGCACCAAAAACTGATAAGAATCTCCCCACTCCCTTCCCCCCCCCCCCATACGCAACGACACCCTCCCTAACCCACCTTCAACCCCCCTAGACCCCCCCCCCCCCCCCCCGCACCCACCCACGAGCAAGAGCAGGCCGTCCGTGCGTGTCGTGTGTGTGTCGGGGCGGGCGTCGGCGTGGCAGGGAACAAAGGCAGTTCGCTCGACCCGCCAGGTGCCGCTCTTTCGGCTCCGTCGACGAGCATCGACTCCCCGAACTCGACGATTTCCGAAATCCCGAATTCCCGATTTCCGGAATCCCCGACTCCCGACTCCCAGATTCCGGATACGCCCGACTCCCCGCCTCCCGATTTCGCGGACACCCGAGCTTCCCGACTCTCGATTTCCGGAACACTACGCCGACTCGCCCGACTTCGCCGATTCAGAACTGCCGACTCCCCACTTCCCATTTCCGGACACGTCCGGACTCCCGATTTCAGGACGCCCGACCCCCGACCCCGATTTTCCGGACATCCGATGTCCGCGACTCCGATTTCCCGGACGCGGACGCCCCGACTCCCGATTTCCGGACCCCCCGACTTCCCCGACTCCCGATTCCGGACCCCCGACTCCCGACTCCCGATTCGGACCCCCGACTCCCCGACCCCGATTCTGGACGCCCGACTCCCCGACTGCCCGATTTCCGGTCCCCGACTCCCGATTTCCGGACACCCAACTCCCGATTTCCGGACCCGCGACACCCCGACTTTCTGACTCTCCCATTTCCGGACCCCCGACATCCGACACCCGACTCGCGATTTACACTGGCCTTTACATCCCCCGACCTCGACGTGGCATCGAACACCAAAAGCTTTCCCATTTAGGACGATTTAACCTACGTGTGTGTGTGTACGAGAGGAGGGAGAGGGAGAGGGAGAGGGAGAGGGAGAGGGAGAGGTGAGGAGAGGGAGAGGGTGAGAGAGGAGAGAGAGAGAGAGAGAGAGAAGAGAGAGAGAGAAGAGAGAGAGAGAGAGAGAGAGAGAGAGAGAGAGAGAGAGAGAGAGAGAGAGAGAGGGAGGGAGAGGGGTACAGAGAGAGAGAGAGAGAACAGAGAAAGTAGAGAGAGGGAGGGCGAGGGAGAAAGAGTGAGTGTGGAAGTGCGAGTGAAAAGAGAGGAAAAGCAAGAGAGAGAGAAGCAAACAACACAAAAAAAAGAGACAAAGGGACAAATAAATAACCAAACACAGATCCCACGAAAAAAAAAAAAAAAAAAAAAAAAAAAAAAAAAAACAAGAACGAAAACCGACACCGTGTGTACGCGTGTGTCCGTCTCTACGTACGTTCCCGCCCGTGGACGTAAGAGAAAAAAAAGTGGAAAAGTGGAGTGAAGTCGAAGTGGAAGGACGGGAGGTATTGGCGTCAGGATGGGCCGAGTTATGGGGTCGTTCAGCGCCTCGTTTCAAAGGCTTAAAATGTTTAATTAAAAACCTTAAGATCGTTTGAATGGGGCGGGAGGTGGAGGTGGAGGAGGAGGGGGAGAAACAGGGAGAAGGGGAGGAGGAGGAAACAGGGGAAAAGGGAGGAGGAAGAGGAACAAGGGGAAGGGGAGGAGGAGGTGGAGGACAGGGGAAGGGGAGGAGGAGAAAACATGGGGAAGGGGAGAAGGGAAGGAGGTGGAGGTGGAGGTGGAGGGGGAGAAAAGGGAGAAGGGAAGGAGGAGAGGAACAGGGGAAGAGGAGGAGGAAGAACAGGAAAGAGGAGGAGGGAGATGGGGAGGGAAGAGGATTAGGAGGAATAGGGGGAAGAGGTGTAGGTGGAGGAGGTGAAGGAGGAGGAACTGGGAGAACAGGGGAGGAGGAGGAGGATGGGGGGGGGAGAGGAGGAGAAGGTAGAGGATTGGGAAGAGTAAGTGGAGGTCGATAGGGAAGGAAGGAAAGGGTGGAGAACAGGGGGAAGAGGAAGAGAAGGAGGTAAAGGAGAGGGAGGATGTGAAGGCAAGAAGAAAGGGGAAGGGATGAGAAGGAGGGAGATGAAAAGGGTAGAAGACATGATAGTGATTCAAATCTAAGAGAGAGAGACAAACGGAAACAAATTCCCACACATGCAAATTGACATAGAGAAAAAAGAAAGAGAAAGACAAGAGAGGAGAGAGAGAGAGAGAGAGGAGAGAGAGAGAGAGAGAGAGAGAAGAGAGAGAGAGAGAGAGAGAGAGAGAGAGAGAGAGAGAGAGAGAGAGAGAGAGAGTAGAGAGAGTAGAGAGAGAGAGTAGAGAGTAGAGAGAGAGTAGTGAAAGAGTAGTGAAAAGAGGGAGAGACAAAAAACCAAGAGAGAGAGTATCAAACAAAAACAAACAGAGACAAACCTCTCGAATCTAATCTAAAAAAAAAATCAGACATCCAGACAAACAAACAAAAACACCCGAAACACACAGCATTAACTACACATAAAAGAACCGTAGACTGGTCTGGTGGATTGAAATGCAGATGGAACGGAAGCCCCGGATTTTAATGATGATGGCTCCCGCGCCGGGGAAAATGTTGACAGCTTTTCGATTTATTGGCGGCGCGAGGGTTTTAAATAAAGCCCGAGGAGGCGCGGCGGCCGGGCCTCCTGCAGGCCTCGACCCGTGCTCCAAGGGTGAGATTTGAAGGAGGAGACTCGAGGACGACGTCTGGGATGAGGGCTGAGGGTGACGTCTGGGGTGAGACTTGAAGGATGAGACTCGAGGGCGACGTCTGCGATGGGACTTGAGGGCGACTTCTGGGGTGAGAATTCAAGGATGAGACTCGAGGAGGACGTCTGGGATGGGACTTGAGGGCGACTTCTGGGGTGAGACTTGAAGGCGACGTTTGCGATGGGGACTTGAGGGCGACTTCTGGGGTGAGACTCGAGGGATCAGACTCGAGGACGACGTCTGGGATGAGGGCTGAGGGTGACGTCTGGGGTTAGACTTGAGGGCGACGTTAGGATGGGACTTGAGGGCGAACTTCTGGTTTGGGACTTGAGGCGACCTTGGTTTGGGACTTGAGGGCGACTTCTGGGATGGGACTTGAGGGCGACTTCTGGGTTGAGACTTCAAGGATGAGACTCGAGGGCGACGTCTGCGATGGGACTTGAGGGCGACTTTCTGGGGTGAGACTTGAGGGCGACGTCTGGATGAGACTCGAAGGATGAGATTCGAAGGATGAGACTCGAGGACGAAGTCTGCGATGGGACTCGAGGGCGACGTCTGGGATGAAGATATGCTCGATCTCCTTTTCTCATTTTCTATTTCTACTTTCCTTCTTTTTTTTTCTTTTTCTTTTTTTTTTGTTATTTTCTGGTTGGGTTGAGTTGGCTTTGTCTTAGTCATTGTGTATCCTTTCTTCTTGATCATCTTCATCTTCTTCCTACTTCTATTCTTTTATTGTCCTTCTCCTATTATATTCTTTTTTCCTCTTTCTCTTCTACTTCTCCCTCCTCTTCCTCCTTCTTCTTTTCTCCTCCTCCTCCTTCTTCTCTTCTTACTCCTCCTCTATCTCTCCCCTTTTCTCCCCCCCCCGTTTCCCTCCTTGTTCCTTTCCTTCCATCTCGAAATGCAATTTCACTTATCCAAAATCTCGACCCAATAAAAGATAAGAAAAAAAATTAAAAAACAAAAACATACATCGATTAAAAATAAATAAATAAATAACACCACTCTTCCCCCTCCCCCTTCCTTCCTTCCTTCCTTCCCCCACCCCCCCCTACTCCTCGCAATCTCAAGTCTCAATCAAGCTTACGAAAAAGTCAAAGCACATTCCCCTCCCTTCTCCCAACCCAACCCCCACACCCCCCTCCTACATCTCCCTTTTCCATCTCACTTTACTCCCTTTTCCTCATCACTGTTTTTTCCCCTTCCCCCTCACCCCGTCCCCCCTCACCCCCCCATCCCCCTCACCCCCGTCCCCCCTCACCCATCCCCTCACCCCGTCCCCCTCACCCCTGTCCTCCCCCCTGTCCTCCTCACCCCCTCACCCCGTCCCCCTTCACCCCCTCTCACCCCCCCCTCTTTTTTTTTTTTTTTTTTTTCCTTCCATCCGAAGTCCTTATCAACAGCCACTGGTCCGTGACGTCAGAGCGGAGGACGCGGCCGGGACATCGGACTTCAGGAGGACGCTTCCCTCCCCGACGTCAGACAAGCCGTGAAGTGATCCTTGACTTCGGGGCAATTAAGTGAAGCCCAAGTGCACTTTCCCGGCACCTAAGTTATATAAGTAACTACAATTAATAACAAAATAATAAGTAACTATAACGATAAGTTACTATACCGGCGCCGTAACTAATATAAGTAACTATAATTGATAATAGAATAATATGTAACTGTAATTATAAGTTACTATATAAATAACATATAAGTTCTCATATATAAGTAACTATGATTTCCGTATTTATACATTTATACACCCATTCACCCACACACAACTATCTATCTGTCTGTCTGTCTGTCTATTTACCTATCTATCTACTTATGTATCTATACACGGAAGATGAAAACGAAAAGGAAGAAGAAGAATTGGGATAAGAAAAAGAAAGGAAAAGAACAATAAAAAAAAAGAATTGGGAAAAGAGGACGGAAAAAATAAAATAAACGAAAAGACAAATAAAGAGAAGAAAACAGAAAAAGAAGAAGAAGGAAAAGAAGGCGAATAAAAACGAACTCTGCAAGTTGTTTGAGGAACTTTTAACAGGGTTATTAGTCAGGAAAGACAAGACGCTCCATAAAATAAGAAAAGGGACATTGATAAATGAACTTGCAAAGAGGCAGATAAAAAAATAATGAAAGGGGAAGCGGAGGATAAGGAAGAGTCAAAAACTGTAAAGGGATGCATAAGAAACGAATTTATCTGAGGGGAAAGTAAGACATTAACCGCTTCCGAGAGAGAGAAAGAGAGAGAGAGGAGAGAGAGACAGAGAGAGAGAGAGAGAGAGAGAGAGAGAAAGAGAGAGAGAGAGAGAGAGAGAGAGAGAGAGAGAGAGAGAGAGAGAGGAGAGAGAGAGAGAGAGAGGAGAGAGAGAGAGAGAGGAGAGAGAGAGAGAGAGGGGGGAGGGAGGGAGGGAGGGAGGGAGAGGGAGGGAGGGAGGGAGGAGGGAGGGAGGGAGGGAGAGAGAGAGTGAAAGAGAGAGGAAAGAGAGAGAGAGAGAGAGAGAGAGAGAGAGAAGAGAGAGAGAGAGAGAGAGAGAGAGAGAGAGAGAGAGGGGGGGAAGGAGGGAGGGAGGAAGGGAGGGAGAGAGGAGAGAGGAGAGAACAGAGAGGGAGGTAGGGAGGGGAGGGAGGGAGAGAGAGGAGGGAGAGAGAGAGAGAGAGAGAGAGAGAGAGAGAGAGAGAGAGAGAGAGAGAGGAGAGAGAGAGAGAGAGAGAGAGAGAGAGAGAGAGAGAGAGAATGAAAGAAAGAGAGAGAATGAAAGAAAGAGAGAGAAAGAGACAAAAGAGGAAAGACAGAGACAAAGAGAGAAGAAAGACACAGACAGACAGACAGACAGATAGACAGACAGAGAATGAATAAGATAAAAAAAAAAAAAATCAATTCCCTCTTAGCCCGACCCCAGCCTGTAATCAACCGAACAAATTTGATTCTATAATGACATCTTGTAATTAAGAACTTAATTTATCTCTCCAGTCATTGATTCACACACACGCACACACACAGAACTCCGACACACACACGTACGCACGAAATATACGCAATATATTGTACAATATAACGTTCAGGTATATGTATATATAATATATATATAATATATATATATAATAAATATATATATATATATTATATTATGCATATTATTCATATCTATTCATAAAAAAAAAAAAATGATCAAAAAATAACGTATATATCATTGCACATTCATCATTAAAGAAAAACAAAAAAGAAATGCTTATTAAAACTAAGTATACATATTATTGCACATTTGCCATTAAAATAAGATTTAGAAAATATTATAAAAAAATACTTACACATATTATTGCACACTTATCATTGAAAAAAAAAATATGAACAAAAAACGCACACATATTAATACACATTCATCATTAAAAGAAAAATAAAAAAAAATAAAAAAAATAATTATAAAAAATAGGAATTCCACAACGCAATGAGAACAGCGGATAGGAAGCAATAGAAGCAAAAAGAGAGAGAATAAAGCAAAAGAGCGAAGGACGGAAAGAGAGGGGAAAGGAGGGAGGGAAGGGGAGAGGAGAGAGAGAAAAGTATCGAATCCTCCACAAAAAGGGGAAGCCTCGACCTGAAAAGGGAGATTTGAACCTTCGGAATGCCTACACGAGGGGAGAGGGGAGAGGGAAAGAGGGGATGTGGGGGATAGAGGGGAAGGGAGGGAGGAAGAGGGGAAAAGTGGGAGGGGAAGAGGGAAATGGTGAAAGGGAGAGAGAGGGAGGGAGTGAGGGAGGAAAGGAAAAGGAGAAGAGAGGGAGGGAGAGAAGAGGGGAAAGGGAGGGAGTGGTAGAGGGGAAACGGAGGGAGGGAAGAAGGGAAGAGTGGAAAAGAGGGAGGGAGGAAGAGGAGAAAGAGGAGAGCATGAAGAGAGGGAGAGAGAGAAGAGGAGAAAGGGAGGGAGGGGCCTCGTAGAAGAGGTGAGGGAGCAGACGAGAAGAAGAGAAGAGATGAAGAGAGAAGAGGTGAGGGAGGAGACGAGAAGATGAGAGGAGACGAAGAGGAGAAGAGGTGGGAGGAGACGAGAAGAGAGAGAGACGAAGAGAAGAGAGAGGAGGAGACGAGAAGAAGAGAAGAAACAAAGAGAAAAACAGGTGAGGGAGACGAGAAGAGGAAGAAGACGAAGAGGAGAATAAGTGATGGAGAAAACGAGAAGAAGAGAAGAGACGAGAAGAGGAGAGAAGAGGGGGGGAAAGGGATGCGCGCTAATCACCTTCCTTATTAAGATAACCACCCATAAATAGCAGGGCCGTTAAGCCCCCAACTGCCACTAATTGCCTTGTTCATACATCAAGGACGAGGCAATTCAAACAGTTGTGCGGATTTTCTAAGCGATTAATTCTGCCTGTAATTAGCTCTTAAATATGGGCGTAATCAGCCTGCCGGTAAGGGATATCCAGCGCATCTTTCGCGCCCTAAATTAACCCTTATGAAGAAGCGAGATTGAGAAAAAAGGGAAAGGAGGTAAAAAAGGAGAAATGATGTGTTTTATATCCGGTTAGAATGCCTGTGGACGAAGGAGGGAGGAGAGAGAAGAGAGAGGGAGGGAGAGAGAAGGGAAGGAGGAGAGGAGAGGGAGAGAGAGAGGGAGGGAGGGAGGGAGGAGGGAGAGAGAGAGAGAGAGAGAGAGAGAGGGAGGGAGAGAGAGAGAGAGAGAGAGAGAGAGAGAGAGAGAGAGAGAGAGAGAGAGAGAAGAGAGAGAGAGAGAGAGAGAAGAGAGAGAGAGAGAGAGGCAGAGAGAGAGGGAGAGGAGAGAGAGAGAGAGAGAGAGAGAGAGAGAGAGAGAGAGAGAGAGGAGAGAGAGAGAGAGAGAGAGAGAGAGAGAGAGAGAGAGAGACAGACAGACAGAGAGACAGAGACAGGACAGAGAAGAGAGAGAGAGACAGACAGACCAGAGACTTCTCTACGAATTTCCCCTCTTCCAACCACACCGTAAGATGGACGAATGACGTAAGAGGGAAGACGCAAAAAGAAAGAAGCGGGATACAAGCAGAGGGGGAGAGGTGTAGCACAGTCTTGCCTTCCTCGCGACATAGATTCGTGTCACGCAAGAATGGCCTTTAAGCGCATGTGAGTCTCATATCGTATTTTTTTCCTGATTCTATGACGTAAAACTTGTTTATTCCCTCGTTCTGTGCTTAAGATATTTCCCATATTTTACTTAATAAAAAAACAAGGAAAAAAAGTGAAAGAGGGCGAGAGGGAAGGTCGAAAAGAGGAGAAAGAGACAGAGAGAAAAAAAGAGAGAGAAGGAAAGAGTGAGAAAGGGGATAATGCGGATAACAGGAAGAGAGGAAGAAGATGCAAAGAAAGACAAAGAAGCAAAAGATACGAAGAGATAGAAACAAAGACACGGTGGGAGAACTGGAAATGAAAGAAGATATATACTGCGATATGAAAATGGAAAAAAACGTAAAAAAAATAAATAGCGGAACAAAGGGAAGAGTAAAATGACGCTCCACCTCATAAACATATTCAAAAGACGAGCTCAACATAAGGAACAAAGGGAGAGAAGGAAAGAGAGAGAGAGAGAGAGAGA